TGACTCTCTCGACCACCGAAGCGGAGTATGTTGCAGCTGCAACATGTGCTTGTCAAGTCATTTGGGTCAGAGGAGTACTTGAAGAACTAGGACTGAAGAATAGCAGGAGTACAATCATAAATTGTGACAACACCTCCACCATTAAGCTATCAAAAAATCCGGTGTTTCATGGAAGGTGCAAGCACATAAGAGTTCGTTTTCATTTCTTGCGTGATTTAGTTAAGGATGAAGTTGTTCAATTGGAACATTGTGGAACACAAGAGCAAGTTGCGGACATTCTCACCAAGCCTCTGAATCGTGAAATCTTTGAGAAGTTGAGAGAAAAGCTTGGAGTATGTTCAATCAAGAGTAAACTAGCTGAGGAACCTCAGTCTAGTTTAAGGGAGGGTGTGAAGAAGTAAAAGTGCACTGCACGTACTTTTACTTAGTCTTTTTCTGTTTTGTGAATAATCCTATTCTTTAGGAGCTTAGAAGTTTTCCTTTTCTGTTTTTGATTCTCCTGTTTTTTAGCTTGCTTTAGTTGTAGCTGTGGCTATTTAAAGGCCCTCTTTGTAGCAATAAAAATCCATCGAATTTTGGTCTCTGTTTCTTGATTTTTCTTCTAACACCCCTAACTCACAGCTGCCCAAAATCAATCTAGAAACCTTACGACTTTGAAAAGAAGAATGAAGGAAATCTGGTCATGGTTTGTTTACGGTTGTGGCAGGCAATGATGTCAAGATTTTCATCTGGGTTAGTGCTTGAAATGGATTGGAGCAAGCGTTCAGGTATTTCAGAGATTTTAAGAAACAACAGGTTTTAGACTACAACCGTTTCGTTGTTATTCATGGAGTTGGTCAGTAAACAATCTTTATTCAATCTCTGTAAATATTGTTGTATTTTTAGCTGAAGATGTATTCTTTAATTGCAATTAACTTCCAGTGGCTTGTTTGATTGATGATCAACTTCCTTTTTTCTTTGCATTTCTTTGCCCTATAAGTCATGTGAAAGCCTCTTTTATTGGCTTTGTTCCATAATGTGAGTGAAACTTCATCTCAGGGGCGATTTCAAATACTCAAGTGGGTGGCGGACCTAGGGGTGTCAAAAAAATCCAGAACTGAATAAACCCATCAAAACCAAAACGGTTTCGGGTTATTCTGGTATTCGGGATAATGGATAGGTTAATCGAATGAGGATACCTTATTTGGTTCAGTTTTTGGTTACTCCGTTTACTGTTTCAGTTAAACTGAATAGTACATTATACTATTATTTTATATATTTGACTTGTATATGAATTGGTTTGAGCATATAGAATAATTAATGGTAAGTGAATTGGTTCGTCTTAGGCTAAAAAAACAAGTGACAAGGAGAGGGAGCCTGAGAACCAATATGAAACGTAGAAAACCAATCTAGAGGCTTATGTATGATCCCATAACGTCCTTCCTACAACCAATGACTCCTTCTCCTTTATTTTATCAAGCCACATTGTCCACACAAGTGACACAAATCAGATAAAAAGACAGCATTTGTAGCAMTAAACGATTTATTAACAGATTAAGGTTTGTAGCAATAAGCAATTTGTAGGATGTAGCAATAAGCAATTTGTAGCAACGAAGAAATCATCACCAATTTATAGCAAAAGGCCAAGAAAACGATTAGGATTTAGGGTTAGAAAAATACCTGAAGAAAAATCGATTAGGGTTTGAGATTGTGATGAGATACGAGATCAGATATGGCTGCCCCAGTTAACAGAAAGAGAGTATCCGAGTAAATCATTACAAAAAAATATATTAGGGTTTCTGGAATCGTTGAACGCTGGATAATAAGCGATAATATGATTAGAGAGACTAGTCATTACCTGAACAAGGGTCGCCGGAGGGGGGTAGAGTGCAATCGTCGGACAAGTCTGGACTGGTAGAATCGCCGGAGAGGACTGGAGTGTGAAGGCGGGAAGGGTGCTGGGGAAAGTAACGGAAAAATAAGTTGTACAAAAATTTCCAAGGTTGACCAGGAGAAGTCCATGAAAAATCCAATCCACTTTCTCATTTTAAACGGCATAATTTTCAAACTTTTTTGAATAAGAAAATATTTAAATTTTTAATTTTAACTAATTTAAACCAGATGGTAAAAAATAATATAATATGATATTCTTTAATCTATTTTATATATATATATATATATATATATATATATATATATATATATATATATATATAGAGAGGAGTGATCAAATAAAAACTGTCCTCATTTGTATAAACCGTGCAAACCACCTTCATCCGTCGATTT